TCACTCAATCCAAATCCCCCCTTTTTATTTACTAAGTATCATAAAAAGAGAATTATTCATTTCCCTATGGATACGAACTCTACTACGCTATACTACGTATAAGTGTTAGTATTGAAAATTATTTTGACGCACCGTGACAAAGTGCTCGTCAAATTTGGCGCCGTTGCTGAGGAAAGGCAATTATTTTTCTTTTTATTTTATCTCATAAAAATCAAAAACAAAAAAATATATATAAAAAAAATCTTACTTTTCTATTTTCTGAGCTTGCATAAGTAAATGGATACCAACACATCATCCCTAGAGAGTCAAATTTCCGACTTGACTTCTCTAATAAAGGAGTTTATCTCATGTTCAAAATCTCAAGATGTCCATACATGCAACATTTGCATGTCACAAAGGCATCTTACAAATTTTTGCCCAGAGCTTCGAGAAGAATTCTTTGAACAAAGGAATGGTGTTGGTTTCCAAGAGAGGTATGATTCATTCTCCTACACATATAGCCCATACTCATGTTCTTATTCCAGCATGTCCACTGAACACATGATCCGAGCTCTCACTTTCAATGTGACAAATATGCAACAGAATATGTCACAATGCTCGCAAGAAGCAGTGTCCAACAAACAGAACTTGGACAATCAGTTGAAACAAATGCCAAACATTGTGAACCACATGGGAGAGGAGGAGGAAGAAGAGGAGCTTACGGAGAAAGCTCAACCGGAGGAGGAACCTGAAAACTCAACTCAACCACCGGCCATTCCTAAGATCATGCCACCATTTCCTGAGGCTCTAAGGGAAACACAAAGGGTGGAGAAGGACAAAGATATCTATGAAATTTTCAACAATTGTGAGTATAAATTAGACTTCTCTTTGTTCACAAATAAGCAAGGAATAACGGTGGGATTACACAAATATTTCATACTCCCTCTTATACCACCCGGATCAAAACCCCTCCCATTGACCACGCTTAATGAAAATCATGGACCAACACTCTCACAATATGAAGCGGTAGAAATCTGGATATTTGATCCCGTAAAGGTCAAAATAAAGGGTCGAAAAACTGAGTCTTTCTATAAGAGTCACCCGGGTGAAAATTTGAAGAAGATGAGTTATCACGATCCAAGCTTGAACGATTGAACACAACCATGGCGTCGTGCCGCGACGTTAACTAAGCCGCTTCTTGGGAGGCAACCCAAGCAAGGTACGTTTACTTGTTTTATTTTATTTTTACACATTTCAAAAATAAAAAAAAATGGACTGGGATTGGACCCGGCCGGGTATAAACCCTAACCCGGTCGGGTTACTTCTAAAAACAAAACACCCGGGCAATCACCCGGGCGAGGCATGAGCAAAACAAGAATAAATTTTTCGCCCGACCGGGTAGACTTCCATACCCGGCCGGGCAAGCCAGCAAAAACCTTCTGCCTCGGGTGAACAGTTTACGCCCGACCGGGTACACTACCCAACCCGGCCGGGTATCTCAATTTTTGGAAACCAGGCCATTTCTCAAAAAAAAAAGTTGAATCACCCCTCTTTGTCTTCCCTTTCGAACCACACCCCAAATTTCCTCCATTTCCAAAAGTCAAAAGCTTCATATCTCCTACATCCATCCACCAATTAAACCCATTTCATTCATCACCTCTTCACCCTTTTCATCTCCACACCCACGAATCACCAACAAAACCTCCCAAAAAGTATCCAAAAAAAAAACACATGCATCTTAGACACAAGCACTAGGGACAGTGCTTTGATTAGCTTGGGGGGAGAGTTTTATGGAATACTCACATTCATACTCTTTATTCTTGTAAAAAAAATTTTATAAAAGCTTGTTAAGTTGAAAACCTGAAAGGGCAACTTAAGCAAAAATAAAGCAAAAATAAGAGTGAGGTGTGAGGATTGAAACAGAAAAATGTGGGAAGCTGGGATGAAAACCCGAAAGGGCACCTAGGCAAAATGAGAGAACGAGAGAAAGTATTTTCTTTTATTTCTGCAGGATCCTAAGGGTAACGGAAAAAAAAGGTTGAGGTTGATAAAGAAATATGGAGTTGAAGACCCTCTTTACTATTATATTTTTGGGGATTTACTTTATGTGTTTCTAAAAACACTCGTGGATGTGTGTGTTAATATTCTTGTCATTTTAAGGACTTCTTGGATCGGATTTGATTTACTCGAGATGAGTAAAGGTTTAAGTGTGGGGGTGTTTGATGCACACTAATTAGTAGTTCATAATTACATGTTTTTATGTTTGATTTATGTTAATTGTTTGACGTTTTATTTAGTTTGTAAACATTTATGTGATTTCAGTTGTAATTGTATTTTAGTCTTTATTTGTAAGTTGTAAAGTTTAGTTACGATTTGTGGTGTTGGAAAGGAAGACTTTGAAGTGAAGAAAAAGAATATTTGGCTGCCCAGGAGCAAATACACGACCGGGTACACTACCCCACCCGGTCGGGTAAGAAGTGAAAAACGAAAATGCAAAGAAAGTGCATGGCCCGGTCGGGCCCACTACCTCACCCGGTCGGGTGAGAAGTGACCGGGGACAACCCGGTGTGCAAAGATCACCCGAACGTGAAGAATATCCAATTTTTGCACTCACCCGGTCGGGTCCCCTGCCCCACCCGGTCGGGTCTGACTTGACCCGGACACTTTAACATGCCGAAGATCGCCAGAACGTGGAGGATATTTGATTTTGACATTCACCCGGTCGGGTAAGTACTATACCCGGTCGGGTACCCGGCCAAAGGTGTTGAAAAACACCTATAAATAGCACTCTTTTTCTTCTCTAAAAATCATCCCTTCTTCCATACTCTTTAGCTCAGTTTAGAATATCATTTCTTTATATTTTCTAGCTATGTTTAGTCTCCAAATGAGGAGCTAAACTTCCATTCTTGGTGTTGCTCTTGAAGCTTGTTGATTATTAAAGTTGTGAGTTATTTTCTTAACTTCTTTCCTTGAATATTAATTAATAGTTCTTTCCTTAATACCATCTCTATATTGATGTTGAGGAGTGTTGCTAAGATGACAATTAGTTAACATCTCGACATTAGTTAGAATGATATTTTCTTCCTCTATATTAATATTGGGGAGTGTTGCTAAGATGACAATTAGTTAACATCTTGATATTAATTATAGTAGGATTCATCTTCTTTAATAATATTCTTCCTTGAATATTAATTAATCCCTACTCATATTTCATATTAATATTTTGAACATTACTTAAAGGATCAACTAGTTTTGTTTCATATATTAGTTATTACTAGAAACGATCAACGAACCGATGGTTAATCGTTGATGGTTTCACAAGTAAGTAACTTCGATTTATTAATGCACGGTCGTGGTTAATAAACTTAAGAGGGATTAATTTTGTTGGTTAAACCGAAACCGCTTGTGTTGAGGTTATCAATCTCAATTGATTTCATCAAGGAGTTAGAAAGATTAAATGCTACTATTAAATCGGTATAAGGCGTTGTTCTATATTTGATTAATAGTAAGGGTTATTAATGAACGGTCGTTGTTAATAACTACCCTTGATGAAGTGGATATACTCCCCGATTGAGTATTTGAGAGGGAATAAGTTATAGATATGACAATGATCGACTAAAATATATCAACAAGTGCAAAGTAGCAATGCCAAGTCCTTTTTATCTTTGAATTAAACACATATAGGTTGTTCATCTTAGTTCTTAATTAAATTAAATCACTCAATCCAAATCCCCCCTTTTTATTTACTAAGTATCATAAAAAGAGAATTATTCCTTTCCCTGTGGATACGAACTCTACTACGCTATACTACGTATAAGTGTTAGTATTGAAAATTATTTTGACGCACCGTGACAAAGTGCTCGGTAGTGCCCAATCATGAAATCACATTGAAAGTTGGAACTCCAGTCATGCTTTTGCGTAACATAGATCATTACATGGGGCTGTGCAATAAAACGAGATTGATTATTACAAAACTTTGTGACCACATATTGGAGGCAAAGGTTTTGACAGGAAGAAGTATGGGGCAACAAGTATTGATTCTGAGATTGTCATTGACTCCTTCGGATGTGAGACTTCCTTTTAAATTTCAAAGAAGGCAATTCACATTTATGGTTGCTTATGCTATGACTATAAATAAAAGTCAAGGGCAATCTCTTTCACATGTTGGTTTATTGTTAAAGAAACCGGTTTTTTGTCATGGACAGTTGTATGTAGCAGTTTCCAGAGTCACGAGTCCAAAAGGATTGAAGATTTTAATCATAGGTGATAATAATGAAAGCACAAACAAAACCACTAATGTCGTATATAAAGAAGTATTTCAGAATGTATGATTTGTATGCATACTTAATTGTGGTTATCACAAAAAAAACAATTGTTGTTATAATGTTTTGTTAAGTGTGAGAATGAGATCTTCTTTTATTATCGTGACTTTTTTCCCTACTCTTCTTCACTATGTTTGCGTGCATATTAATATAATTGTACTACAATTATATTTTGAATTTTTCTCTAGTTATCCGAGAAAATTGTTTATTTGCATTATATGAAAATTTTCGTGATACACTTATACAAAATTTCCCCTGGAATACTAGTTAAAATAATATTAGTTATGCAACGCACGGGTGGAATACTAGTTAAAATAATATTAAAGGATACAAATTATATTATTTGTTAAATTATGTACGATACTTTTCTTTATGATTAATTAAATCATATTTTAATAATAATAATTATTATTATTATTATTGTAATGGGCATGATTGTTGGAATGGTCATGTTCAATCGTGATGTTCATTTTTAGATTAATTTTAAAGTACATCCATTGTGGTCTTTCGTACATATTGATAAAATAATCAAAATGTTTATTATTATTGAAAAGCTGAGATGTTTCAAACCATCACACACGTTTGGAAAATCTGCGATGCTTTATTCAAACTTTATTCGAATGCATCCTTATCTAACTTCTTCTGATCGTCTATAAATGGAACTGAACACGGATGATTTTAGGTATTTCGATTTTCCAACTTCAAAATTTTATCATCTTGCCTTGCTCTGTTTTATTAATCTGCAGTAATAAAACAAAAGTATTTAGACCACTTTGCATACATTCACTTGTTTGGTGTTATTTTATCAGTAGCTAAAATACACTCTGCACCTTCTTTTTATCTCAAAAGTTCTATCTTGTAACCCGGTTACTGTGATAAGGGTAGATAGTAAACTTTTAGGAAAGCGTATTTAATACGTGACTAGAAGTGATATCCGGTCTAGCCATATTTCTACACCCTTATAATATACTTTTTATATCCTCCGGTTCTAACCATCTAAAAGTTTACTAATCTGAAAATATGGCCGCTACTCAACGCGATATCATCAACACCAATTTTCAAAAATTGGAAAAGTTTGAAGGTGTGGAGTTTCGAAGGTGGCAGAAAAAGATGCATATTCTGCTCACTACTTTGAAAGTGATCTGTGTTGACCACCCCGAGGCCGCCCGAGGAAGAAGAAAATGAGTCTTTGGAGACGAGTCGCCGCCGCATAAAGTGGGATAATGACGACTACATTTGTCGTGGTCACATTTTGAACGGTATGTGTGATTCTCTATATGATGTGTATCAAAATGTTTAGTATGCTAAAACGCTGTGGGAATCTCTAGAATCTAAATATATGACCGAGGATGCTTCAAATAAGAAATTTCTCATTAGTAACTTTAATAGTTACAAAATGGTGGATTCACGGATCTGGTCATGGAGCAATTTCATGAGATTCAACGTTTATATGATCAACTTTAGATTCATAACATGCATGTTAGTGAAACCTTTGTGGTCGGTTCTATTATCGACAAATTACCACCTTCATGGAAGGAAGCGAAAAATAGTCTCAAACGTAAAAAAGAGGATTTGTCAATGGAGCAACTTGGTCGCCGACTTCAAATCAAAGAAGGCATTAAGTTGCGTGAAGGTGACAATGGTAAAAAGAACAACCTTCCAATTTCCTCTATAAATGTTATGGAGGAGGGATAGTCAAGTGGGACTAAGAAAAATAAAAAATGTCCCGGGAAATTCACCAAAGGTTCCAAGTTTCAAAAGAAGCCGAAAGATAAGAAAGTAGGCTCTTGTTGGGAATGTGGTGGTCCACATTTCAAGAGGGACTGCCCAAAGGTGAAGAAGAAGAAGAAGGCCCAAACCGAACGGCCATCCAAACGGTGACCAAGACAACCAAGGTCAGAATCTTTTTATAGTTACAAATAATGTTGATAACAACATGATTTTTGTAGCTATGCTTTCTGAAATTTGTGTTGTGCAGGATGATGAATCTTGGTGGATCGACACCGGAGCAACAAGGCATGTATGTAAAGATAGACAAGCTTTGAAGACTCTAAAAGAGTTGCAAGAGGGGCCGATCTTATACATGGGAAAAGACTCTACTATGCAAATTCAAGGAATTGGGCAAGTAGAGTTGAAATTAACTTCCGGAAAGAAATTAATTATTAATGATGTGTACTTTGTACCACAAATCCGGAAAAATCTTGTCTCCGGTGGCATCCTAAATAACTTTGGGTTTAAACTTAGCTTTGAAGCAAATAAGTTTATTTTATCTAAGGGTGGTGTATTTGTTGGCCAAGGTTTCTATTGTAATGGCATGTTCAAACTAAGTGTTGCAAATAAAGTTGTTAATTCTGTTTATATGGTTTGTGATTCTTCTTTGTGGCACAATAGGTTATGTCATGTTAATTATCGTAGACTTAGTGACATGTCTAAAGTAGGTTTAATTCCTCCTTTTAATATGAACATAGAAAAATGTAGAACTTGAAAACTCTGGCGAGAGCTCAATGACGGAAAAAGCTCTGGCGGCGCAGCTGCCTCCTGCAGGCGGCGGAATATGGGAGCAGAAATCTTTTGCTGATATCGTTGCTGGTCGATCAGCTCTATCCCCAGAAAAAACAAGGTTTAAAGGCATGCCGGCGATCTCTTTTTCGGATAGAGAGATTCAACAATTGGCGGAAAAACAAAAAAGAGCGTTGGTTGGTTATTTCTTCAAGGGTAAGCCCAGTTTGTTAATTATTCAAAAAGCCTTTGAGATCATTGGTTTCAAAGGAACATTTCACTTGGGGGCTTTGGATTCGAAACATGTGTTAATTAGATTTGAATTGGAAGAAGACTTCATCCGTTGTTGGAATCGACAATCGTGGGTTATTCAGGGACATGTGATGAGGGTCACAAAATGAACTCCGGAGTTTCGACCTAATGTAGAATCTCCGGTGGTTCCAGTTTGGACGTCTTTGGAAGAGCTACCAATTCATCTACAGGATAAATCGGCCTTATTCGAGATCGTGAGCCTAATTGGGAAGCCTTTAAAGCTAGATGAGGCTACGACTAAGCTATATAGGCCAGCAGTGGCTAGGGTTTTTGCTGAAATTGATCTTACCAAGGAGATGCCCTCGAAGATCTGGATCAATTGTGGTGACAATGGGTTCCTGCAGTCTGTTTCATATGAAAACAAGCCGAAGTATTGTTCAACGTGTTTACATTTAGGGCATTCCCAAAACAAATGTCCTAAAAAACAAATTACACAGGGTATAGTTTTACCAAAGGAAAGATGGGTTCAGAGAAAAGCAGTTCCAAAAAAATTTAAATTTACAAGACATGAGAAAGGTAAAGATAAGACAATTGAACAGCCAAATTCCATAGAACAGCCTGCAATGGTGGATTCAAATCAAATTAAGTTAATGTTACAGGCAGATATCCCAGGAATTCAGAACTCGAATCCAAAGGAAATTAACGGAATCCAGTATGACATGTATATACATTCTATGCATAAGAATCTTGAAGAAAATGCACATGTGATTATCAGAGACTGTTATTCTGATAGGGAAGAGGATCAGCATGTTTGTCCAGATCTGTTTATAAAGGATTGGGAAAGAATCTGCACAGGAGTCAATAACATTGTCAAGCTAAATGCCAGTATGCAGGAGTCAGTATCACAACAGGAGCAGGTAGAAAAATCAAATCCTCTACAGAGTAATTTGGGTGATCAATCAGATACTTCAGATTCACTGCACCAAGAGAATACAGAGGAAGGGAACATTGATGACATATCCAAAAATACAAGAAAATCTTCTAAAACACAAAGTACCACAACAACTCAGTCAAAGATAACTACCAGGAGTGCAGCTAGGGGAGTTGCAGGGGTTTCCCTATGAATTGCTTAATGTGGAATGCTAGGGGTCTAGAATCCTCCAGTTCTAGACTATTTTCCCTAGTTAATCAATGGAGGTTACATTTTCTTATTATTATTGAGTCTATTGTGGCTAATCATAAAATTTACATGTTCAAAACAACCCTTGGTTTTGACAAAGCTGTTAATTCTTTAATTAACAAGATTTGGATTTTTTGGGACTCCTCTAGGATGGATATTTTGGATTTTATTTGGCCTGAACAGTATGTGCACTTCAAAATCAATAGTCGAGGTTTCATTGGTTGGATTACTGGTGTTTATGGGGGACATAACTATATTGCAAGAAGAGCTCTGTGGGATGGACTTACCTCTTTCTATGCAAGTCTCAAAGAGCCATGGATGGTGGGGGGGATTTTAATGCAATAGCCAATTACAATGAACATAAAGGAAACTCCATACCTATTATTCAAGATGTCAATGAATTTTCTGATTGTATTGTTGCTTGCAGTCTGGTAGATCTTCCTTTCTCTGGGCCTAAATACTCTTGGACTGGTAATAGATCTAATGGTAGAGTTTGGAGGAGGTTAGATCGGGTTCTATTCAACAATCTTTTCTTGGATAAATTTGATAATATTCAAGTTTCCTTACTGAATAAAACCCCTTCTCACCATAATCCTATTTTGATTCAGTGGTCCCAAACTAATAGTTTTGGTCCAAAGGGCTTCAAATTTCAGAATATGTGGTTGAGTAGTCAGTCTTGTATGGATTTAATTAAATCTAAATGGGCCTCTGTGGGACATCAGGGTGGTATGAGAGGGTTAGTTTCCAGGTTGAAACATCTTAAGAAAGAGCTCCAGATCTGGAATAAAGAATCCTTTGGTAACATTTTTGATGATATTAAAAGTTGTGAAGAAGAGGTTTTACAAGCTGAAAAAAACTTTGAAGAAACACCTTGTGACCAAACAAGGGAAGATTGGTTTTTTAAGAAAAGCTTGTTTATTCAAAAGCTTAAGCTTGAGAAAAAGTTTTGGAAGCAATACAAAATTTTTTCACTCCTTTGTAAATATTAGAAAAAGGAAACAGAGTATTACCTCTATAAAAACTCAGACAGGGCAGGAGGTGCAATCTCTTCCTCTTATAGGAGCGGCTGCAGTGGACTATTTTGCTGATCTTTATAAAGCACCAGATTTGGATACACTTCAGACGGGAGATCATCCTGCAATCAGCAATATTCTTGGTTATATTCCTCAGCTGATTTCTTCTGAGGACAATAATGTACTTATTAAAATGCCTAACATGAAGGAAGTTAAACAGGCAGTATGGGATCTAGACCAAAATAGTGCACCTGGGCCTGATGGATATCATGGGAAGTTTTTCAAGAAGTATTGGGATATAGTGGGTATGGATGTTGTAAGAGCAGTTCAGGACTTCTTCCTGGGAACTCCTATTCCTAAAGGAATGGCTAGTGCTTTACTTGTTCTTATTCCTAAATCATATAGGCCATCTACTTTCAGTGAGTTTAGACCAATCTGCTTGTCTAACTTTGTTTGCAAGGTGTGTACTAAGGTCATGGCCTCTAGATTGAAAGAAATTCTTCCTAAAATCATATCAGAAGAACGGGCTGGTTTCAGGTTCTCATAGCACAGGAATTGGTCCATTATATTGATAAGAAGGTCAGGGGGAGTAACTTGGATGTTAAACTTGATATGGCCAAGGCCTTTGATAGGGTATCTTGGCATTTTCTTTATGCCATCTTATTAAAATTTGGTTTTTCATCTCATTTCATCCAACTTGTTAGGAATCATTTGAAGGCTTCCTATTTATCAGTTTTGATTAATGGTGTACCACAGGGGTTTTTTAAACCCACTAGAGGGGTTAAACAAGGAGACTCATTGTCACCCTTCTTATTTATTATTGCTGCAGAGGCCTTCTCTAGGGGTCTAAACTGGATGATGGAGAGAGGCAAAATAAAACCCTATTGGACTGGATATGAGGGTCTGAAGGTTTCTCATCTTGGGTTTGCTAATGATTTGCTGATCTTTATGAATGGTAATGCAAGGTCATTATTGAATTTTAAAAAATTTCTTAATACCTATCAAGAAGCTTCTGGACAGGTGGTAAACTTGTCAAAGTGTTCAATCATTTGTGGAAGGGCTCCTCCTGCAAGGCATGCAAAGATCAAACATATCCTGGGTATGAAACTTGCATCTCAAGAAGGAGTGAACCTGCACAAAGGTATCAACAGAGCTGAGTTTTGTGGGAGTGTTATTAAATAGTTTGAGAATAAGTTGACCCCTTGGAAACAGAAAAATCTATCTCAAGAATGAATGCTTATTCTCATCAAATATGTTCTTAACTCCATCCCTCTTCATTTATTAGTTGTGGATACTCTTCCTAAAAAGGTTATTAAGATTCTTAATAATAAGATGGCCTCTTTTTTCTGGGGTTCTTCTTCTGAAAAAAGGAAATATCATTGGATATCTTGGAGAAAACTTTGTCTTCCTACTTTGGAAGGAGGATTAGGGATTAGACATTTATCTGATATTGAGAAGGCTTTTAGTTTAAAACTGTGGTGGAAGTTGAAAGTTGGTGACACTCTGTGGAATCAAATTATGAAAGCTAAATATGAAAGGGGTGGTTGTATGATTCCTAAACTTACAGATTCAGCTGTATGGAGGAGGATATGCTCAGCAAATGATCATGCTTCAGATCTCTGCTCCTGGGACTCTTCTGGTATTCTTACCTGGAATGAGGAAGAAGATGGTAAGTTTACTTTTAAGTCTGCCTTTGAAGAGGTCAGAGAATTATCATTCAGCTCTCAAATATATCAGGATATTTGGAATACTAAACATGAGCTCAAAGTAAAACTGTTGCTGTGGAAAATTGCTAAAGGTATTTTACCCATTGCAGACAATTTACAAAGATTTCAGCTGGTTGTTAATCCTTCTATGTGTCCTTTATGTAACGCTAGTAGTGAGACTATGAAACACACTTTTTTCCAATGCCCGGTGGTTATTCCAGTTTGGAGGTACTTTATGAGCATATTGGGAATATATCAAAGACCTGGGATGGATTATGGTCAATCTCGATATTGGATGCAAGGAGGTTCTGAAAATAGCATGATTGGCATTTTTAAAAAACATCTTCCAGGTATTATTTGTTGGATAATTTGGAAGAATTATGCTGAACAAATTTGGGGATCTGGAGGAAAGAACTCTAATTCAGAACAAATTGTTACTCAGATAAAATTATATACCCAGAATTGGGTAACTAGTGTTCCTACTACTAAAATTAGGGGGTTGGAAACATCCTGTTCGAAGAGGCTCTCATTCCCAGAAACTTCAAATTGAAGGGATTTAAACCCCAAATTATCAAATGGAACAGGCCAAGCAGGACATGGAAATTAAAAGTGGATGCAAGATACTTATCTGGTATGGCGAGTGGAGGAGCTATCCTTCGGAACAAAGATGGTGATTTTGTTGCTGCTCGCAGCTTTCCTTTCATGGCT